GAATTGCTCACTTGCGGGAAAAGCACTGGGATGCAGCTTATCCTGGCGGTCGGGCACGTTTCAACCTCAGTGAGAAGTGAGCAGTAAGTCAGTCAGCTAGTCAGCTAGTCACTCGGTCTGCACATGCAGGATAAGTGAATAGCATTAAATAAACAAACTGGCGAACAGCAAAACAACTGCCAAACAAGAGCCGGCAGGAATAAAGGCTTCACGACTGATGCACTGCACAGAAAAAAAGAAAACTTTGGTAGCTGAAAAAAAGAATAAAACACAAGAAGAATACGAGATACTCTACTAAGCCCTAAGCTCTATTAAGCCCTGAAATCTAAGATAAATTAGTGGTTTCTTTTAACTAACTTTTTAATATAGTAAGTAAATATAAAAAAGGAAAACTTAAAGTAATAAAAAAGTAATTTTTAGATCCAAAAAGAAAGTCAAAACATGACCTTGTTATTATGGCATATTAAAAATATATCAAAAGTCCTTTAAAGCTTGACTTCAAAAATGGTTTTAAAACAAATGAAGGATATTCTGTTTTTCTTATTAATTTAAAGGTATTATGTATATTAAAAAATATTTGTATACAAGAACGGCTCGAAAAAAGGAACTGAGTTTTGTAACTAAAAAAGTATTGTAATAAATAAATAAATATGTAGCAATCAAAAAATGCATCATCCTCGACTTCCATGGTATTACAAAAACTCCCGATCAGAAATCGTTAAGGCAATGAAGAGGAAATTTGAGCACACACATTGTGGATGTAGTGCTCGAATGTTTTTTTCATTTCCTGAAAATGTTCTCTGGTTCGGGATCTGATGCATTTGATAAGCGTCACGTAGCAAACGGCAGAAACCATGCCATACCATTTTTCAGCTACGAGTGGGAAACTGAGAACTGAAAGCCCGGGCAACCGATTGCCGAGTGCTTTATTATCTATATGGTGGGCCAGAGCGATGCATTTGTTTGCCACTTACACACACAAAGGAGTGGCAAAATGGCGGATCCACGTGAAAGGAACGAACCTTACGAGGAAATGGAAGGATACTGAGAGCCTTAGCTTGAAATCTTTGCAGAGCACACCTGAAAATGTTCCCCCTGCTATTGCATTAGAATTTAAGATAAGTTCGAAGCAGCCCGGGAAACTGGAGTGTGAGTAATGGCAATGGGATGGGAAAAGTGGAAGCTCACAGATTGGGACTCTCGGTTTACAGGCAGCTCCTGCTTCTTATTGTGTGTTCGAGTCTGAGATCCTGAGTGTGTGGGGCAACTTGTTTACCAAACTTTATTACAACTTGGCAAACAGTCGTCGCCTTTGTAGTTGGCTCGAGTCGAGTTCTGTTGCTTTGTCTGCTAACTGATTGCAGTTACAATCAGTTTATTGTACGGGCCTGCTGCAGGATGGATTCGCCTGGACACACATACACTTGCCGATACTACCTTGTATCCTGGTTTCAACTTGAAACATCGCACACAGCAGGAGCAAAGTGGAAAAGGACTTTGTTGCCGGCAACAAGCTGCAGCATATGATGCCAAAGTCCGCACTTGAGAGCGGATAATTTGTAAATTTTATAACTCGAAGTTGTAAACTTTGAGCGCATTAGAAATACATGCTCCGACATTGTAAGATTCAATTTTCGGCTTGCCTTTTATGGCTTATCATGAGCGACATAAAAGCCTTCGGATATGTTCCTCCTTGATTGTAACTATTAATTATAAAATAATATACTTTATATACAATTTTATTTAATTAAAGTTAAATTATTGTTGAATTTTTTCAGTCAGTCCTTAAAAAATGACTGTTGTAAGAAAATAAGCTTTAAGTGGGTATCTTTATTTTATTTTAACAGAAGAAAAAATGGATATTTGTAATTTAAATTAAATTCCCTTTTTCACTTCATTTTGTCACCCACAAAATTACTGAACCCTAAATCAATAATCAAAAGAGCCACACCAGAAAAAAAGGCAAAATGTCATAAGTGATTTCCCGTTCCGTTTCACGTTCCAATCAAGCGTAAAATAATTTTGTAAAAATATTTACACAACTCGAGACCCGAAAAAACCGAAAATATGAAAGTGACGTTGGCAGTGGAAGATGAAAAATGTATGGAAACATGTGAAAAGCTCACTAGCTGAGCTGGTTGGGTTGTCGCGGGTGACGACTGTCCAAGGTTTTTTTGAGCCACTCGACCAAGTGGGCTCCCAAGAGTCCCAGCTCATCGCATCTCGGAGCGTTCCGCTTGAATGCGTAGTAGTGGCCGCCCAATGGCATGGTGTACATCAGTGTCAGATTAGGGCGTGGCAGGGCAAAATCACAGACATAACCGCCACTCTCACACTCCCGTCCATACAGAACAGGCACATTCAGAGCTTCCTGAGAAGGCGCATAAATTCCAGACACTGCCGCCCTGGTGATTTGTGGTGCAGAGACCACATCAAACATGGGAGATTTTCACGGGTTCGCAGGCGGGGTTGGAGTTTCTCAGACAGAGACTAAGTGTGGGTTAAGCACACTTGAAGTATGTGCACGCTTGGGTTAAGAAAAAGGATTTGCCCGCCCAAGGAGCTCACTTCCCTCCCTACTCGATTTCTCTATGGCTACAGAGAAAAATAGTATCCATAAATTTTGGATGAGTTATTTTCAACAGTAGTTTAATTTAAAGTTAATAACAGGGAAAATTATTGTTACAATTTGACTTAATATTATTTAATTCAATTATGACTAAGTTGTATATAAAATACAAGTATTTAAATATTAAGTACTATTTTTTTCTGTGTAAAAGGTCTGAAAAAGAAAACCCAAAGCATTCCCCCCACAGCCATTCACGCCTTGACGGGTTGGGGAAAATATGAAAAGTCGTCTTGCTGGGAAAACTGAGTTGGGATCTCCTGCCAAGGTGAGGATTGTGGTCTCAATGCGGTCCTGTGGTCCTTGCGGCTTACAATATACATACGTCTGTATAAAAGTATACGTGTATGTGAATACGTTTTCAGTTATTTTTGTTTTTTCGCTTTTCCACCTGCGACAGCCACGAGTAATGCAATTATATTGAGGCAGGTTTTCTGTCACAACTTTTTCACTTTTCCTGCACATATTTTTCGCTTTGCAGCATCGAAGAATGATGGGCTAAATGGATAAGAACAGGTAAACAGGAAAAGCCAACGCCAGAAACTATTGAAACTATAAGGGAATTTATAGAGGTATCAAAGTGTTTCCTCGTTGTGAAAGTGAAAACTTGGTCTTATCTTTAGACATATCTCTTTCTCCTGCTGTCTCGATTTGCCGGCTAAAGTCCCAGAAATTGCCAAAGTTTATTAACGGAAACAAAAACAAGGACCGGGGACAAAGGACCAACTGCAGAAATCGGAAGATGGAGTTTTGGCGAATTCGGCGCGACCATGAATATGAAATGAAGTCTAAAGCCCATGACGATGCCCAGACAGAGAGATCCCCTTTGGGACATTCGTGGGGTGAGAGGTCATAAACAACAATTTATAAGCTTTAATGAAAATTGGTTGAGAACTCGAGGGCGGCGGAAAGAAGTTAGCCGGCTCACTGCGGCTTTTTTAGAGCGACTTGCAAATAAATTAACTGCTAACCCGGCGAATGCAAATTAAGAGCCTTGTTTACACCTCGGACTGGTCCGCCCCACCTGGCCGTGTTTTTTTTTGGCCATTAAATTTATGCCCCGCGCGGGAATACCCGCCCCGACTGCTCATAAATCCTGCGCCTTTTTCAACCATCACAGCTCTGCCGAATTTGTCCTTTCGCTTTCGACAAATGCATATGGAAATTTTATGCAAATTTCCATTGTGTCAGCAATTTGTAACGAATTTGCGCTGTGAAATGGTTCGAAAAAGCGCCGCAGGCTGGAAATTTAATTTGGCCGTTGCGGTAGGTAAATCAAATTGCATAAACGTCAATTTGCTAATCCAATATTTGAGCTAAAGTTGGGAATACTCTGCGGTTGTTTGAGTGGCGCTCTTCAATTCCAACTTGCGACTGGAGCACTTTAAGTGGCAAGTGGAAAGTTTCGCCAGCTACTGCAACTGAAGCTGACAAAATATTTTCTGATTACTTTTCCACATTGGCGACACTTCAAAATGTCCCCAAAGAGCTGACAGCAGAAGAAAGGCGATGGAAGCGCTCTGCGAATATTTTCAAAATAAATGTTATTGTAGCGAAAGTTGCTGGGTAACTGATAAAGAAAAGAGGAGCAGGCACATCCTTGAGGGAGCAGCCAGGACTGCCTGTTGATGGCACTTTGATGATGGCGAACCGAGCCGAGGAGAACTTGGCCAGCTTCAATTACTCGGATCCTCTCGGATAGTTGGTCAATGCCTGCCGTGACTGGGCCGCATTAGGAACCAGGGCATCATCATAATCAACAGTCAACAAAAAGAACGACCGACACGTGACTACACCACAAAACTCTCAGGAATATAAAAGTTTTCCCCCACCCAATCCCCACTTCCCTTTCAAATGAGCTGCTGGCATTCTGCTGTTTCCATTTTTTTTCGGTAGCTGTCTGCACTTAATGGAAAATGTCAGTTCGCCTCCGGCGTCAAACGTTTTATTGAAGTTTTCACTGAGGCGGCGAACTCAGCGAACTCGGCGAACACCCTAAACCTCTCCAAAATGCGTCATCTGCTCCTTTGGCCACCTTTCGGATCATTCCCGCTCCTCTTCAGACTCATGTTGGAGTCGTCTTCCCCGTGGCCAGCCGTTTAACTTAACGAACCGGAAGTGGTAAGAGAAGAAGCGCATGGAAAGGTCTTCCCTCTCGGCGGAAAAGTATTCCAGTTCGCAGAGATATGATGGAGAATCAGCGCTGCCAAATTGCCGTGAAAAGTATTGTTATTTTTAATGGAAGACGAATTCGCACAACTGGTAAATTGCGAATACAGTTTTCCAGAACTTTAAATTCACAAACCACTACCCGCAATACCTTTGAAAACTTATTCAGTCAGCAGCTCAGAATGAAACTTCAAATATATTGAATCAAACAAGGCACCAATAGCATTCAGTTGGTATTAAAGCATAACAAATTTATTTAACAATGAGCAGCCAAATTAATAAGTCAATATCTACTTCTCCAAAATTGGCGAAACCATCGCCGAAGGCTGTTCAAAAAAATGATGTAAGACAAGTCTTTTGTTGCCAATTTGAAGTATTTGGTCACGTACAGGGTAAGATAATGCATATTTAATTACTCCTATATTTATTTAAATAATTCTATCGTTTGTTAGGTGTTTTCTTCCGAAAGGTGAGAGTTTAAATTTTTATAATTTGTTTTCCAATCGAATTCACTGTTGAACCTTTAGCATACCCAAAAAAGGCCAAAGAGTTGGGCATCACAGGCTGGTGCATGAACACAGCTCGGGGAACTGTACAGGGAATGCTTGAAGGATCCTTGGATCAAATGACTGATATGTAAATGAGAAAGAAAGATTTTAAGACTGGTAATAGAACTCTCTTTTTTTTAGGAAATACTGGTTGCAACACAAGGGCAGCCCTCGTTCGGTGATTGAAAAGGCAGTGTTCTCCGAGAACGAACCTTTGCCCATCAACAACTTTAAGATGTTCTCGATACGTCGCTAGTTAATTTAATTAATTTTCACAAGTTGAAATTATATTTTTACCCAGCTATAACCGAAGCCAAAACGTGAGAATCGCTGAGAGCACGTAATAAAAATTCAGTTCTGGCTCCCAAAACAATTGTCATATTAAGTGTGTATGCCGCAAATGGGCAAAGTTGTCCCTTCTCTGGGGATCTATGTTGGCTTGCCAATTAGTTAGTCCATGAGCCGTTGCAAATTGCCTTTCTAACATTTTTCTATAGCGATTTTTACACTGATGCTGCGCCAATTGTCAAAACAATTTCAATTTGTTTTTTCAGCCATCAAACTGTCGGTGTTCGCGACTCCAAAACGGTCAAAGTTTCGACGAGCTTCTGCCAATTTTGCGACAAATATTGTGCATCCCGAAAAAGCCAAAACAAATTTACATAAATAAATAAAAGTTGACTGAGTTCACAAATGGTAACAGTTGGCGCCTGATGGCAATTAAAAGCCTCTGCGCCACTCTCAACGGTTTGTTTTTTATTGTATTTATCTTTGCCACCGGGGGGATGCCACAAGCTGACTCCTCTGGATGCTGCTGCTGTTATTTATTTGGGATTGTTTTGTGTGTCTGGCAAACACTTTATTATAAACTGTTAAAACCGCAAAAAGTGCACTGGCTAAACAAAATTGCTTTCGCCGCCCAATTGCGAATGTCGCAGGAATGGGAAATTAAAGTGGTTTGAATTTGAGTGTTTGTAATAATCATGGCGGGTAAACAATATTGGGTAAAAATTAAAAAAAAAAGATTATCAATATACCAATTTATTTAGAATGAATCTGACCGAAATAAACAAGAAAAGCGAGACTATTTGTGGGACTCTTTCTTGAATGCGTGAACGTAAACTCTTCTACCAAACAAATTTGGAATACTGAACGTGGTTATTTTCAGGACTTGGGAAATCTTCCCTGATCCTGGTCCAAAAGCCTTCGATTTCTCGCCCTTACGATTTCCTGTGTATTTTTGCCATCGCGAGCCAACTCTCGGCTCAAAAGTCGTCTATAGAGGAGCATCCTGCGTTTGGTTTCTGGCGTTCCGACGGCTGTACTGAACTGCATCCCTGGTTTATGGCCTCGGGTCGACGATCTTTAATAAGAAATAGGTCCAAAGAAAAGGATACGAAAAAAGACAGGAAAAGTTGCAGAAGAAGGCCAGATTTAGAGCATATGGAAACGGATTAATGACTCAACTCTGGGTCTTCTTAGCCTGCTCTTAACTTACGCCTCCTTGTCAGTCATTTTGTTTTTCGAAATAGCCAAAGAGTTTACGTTACAATTTTGAGGGAATTCCGAAAATGTAAATGAGATCTTTTTTGAATGGGGTCCAAAAGTACTATTGATAGATTCGAAGCCACCTAGATCCCAAATTCTAAAAATAATATCTTATAATAAGGCATAGGATTTTAGGTAAGAGAAAAACATTCCTTACAAATTTGATCCACATTCGCTTTACATGTTCACATTTTTAAAGCATATTTTGGAATTTGTATAATTTCCTATTAACATGCTTTAATTTGTTGACTTATGTACATCAATTTTAAAAAATGTATATTTATACCCTTGCAGAGGGTATTATAATTTCAGTCAAAAGTTTGCAACGCAGTGAAGGAGACATTTCCGACCCTATAAAGTATATATATTCTTGATCAGCATCACCAGGAGAGTCGATCTAGCCATGTCCGTCTGTCCGTCCGTCTGTCCGTCCGTCTGTCCGTCCGTCTGTCCGTCTGTCCGTCCGTCCGTTTCTACGCAAACTAGTCCCTCAGTTTTAAAGCTATCTGCTTGAAACTTTCCCAAAAGTTGTCTTTCTATTGCAGGTAGTATATAAGTCGGAACGAGCCGGATCGGGCCACTATATCGTATAGCTGTCATATAACTGAACGATCGGAAATGCCATAACTTTGGTGTTTTTGAAGTTAGGAAGTTGTAATTTTCTATGGGTTTTATTTTTGGCCAATCAGTCTGAACTATCAAATTTCATAAGGATCGGGCGACTATATCCTATAGCCGCCATATAACTGATTGATCGGAAATGCCATAACTTTGGTGTTTGTAAAGTTAGAAAGTTGGGATTATCTATGGGTTTAATTTTTCGCCAATCAATCCGACCTACCAAATTTCATAAGGATCGGCCGACTATATCTTGTAGCTGCCATATAACTGAACGATTGGAAATGCCATAACTTTGGTGTTTTTAAAGTTGGGAAGTTGGGATTTTTTATGAGTATTAAGAATGCATCATATAAATAAATTTGGAGAATATAATTTACAGAATATTCTGCAAGGGTATATCAACTTCGGCTCCGCCCGAAGTTTGCTTTCCTTTCTTGTCCTTAAATGAAATGGAGCACAATGCTACAACTTGGGCTTGCCGCAACTCTAGAGGATTTAGCCTGCATTTTCCAGCACAACAACGGACCAGCCGGCCAAATTAAGTCATTAAATGCCACCGAATGCCGAATGCACAACAGGCAAACGACAACAAGGCACGCAAACAGATAAAAAACCGAGGGGCAGGGGTAAAAAGGAGTTCGGGGGAGTGGAACCGCTAAAAGCCGGATTCGGTAGCGCCGATAATCAATTCCGTTTCCGGCTGACAGTTTGCCGCATCGTGCGTGACCCAAAATATGCATAAACAGCACAAGAAAAATAATAATAATTGTAATAACTTCGTGATCCGCCAAAGAAAAGGCGCCGACAGGCGAGGGGGCGTGGCATGTGCAGCACGGCAATTGAAACTTTCGGGTTCGCGTGCTCGCATGTCGAAAACCGTTGGAAAACCCGCTCCATTAGCTGTTGATAACGAGTTCATTGACGAGTTCATTGGCACATTGATTTCCATTAATTGCACGGCACAGGGGATTCAAAGGGGGTTCCGGGGGGTGCGGCTGCAAATGCGGTTAGTGTGGCGGACTAAATGTGCATGCTAATCGCAGGCCAAAGATGAAATGCCAGTTTGCCAAAAAAGAGCTGCTATAAGTTAAAAGGCCACGCCAAAAATTGTGAGAATCACAAACCACATTTAAAAATCGATTGCTTATTTCAGAAAATGTTTTTAGGCAAATCATTTTTTTTTTTTGAAGAACAATTAAATGTTTTATTTTAAAACACCGCGGCTAAGCTTTTTGATCTTCTCAGGGAAACCATTTAAAAAAACATTAAACAAATATTCTAAATCTAAAAAAAATCATATTTATCTTCAAATTTAATTATAAAATTAAACAAAAATTAAAATGATATTTTCAAAACTATCGAATTATTGTTTTTAAATATTAGCATTTATTATATGGGCATTTCTATAGGAAATAATATTTTTCAATATTTTTTTATATATGTACGTTAAACTACAGCAGACATTTTTAAAAATATATTTTTAATTTGATTAATTTATGATTGATCAGTCATAATTTTATTTAACCCAATAAAGACATTTTCCAGTATATTGGAATAGATATCGACACCACTATTCAGCCGAATTCCAGACCTTGCTGCAGCCGCTTATTAGCCATGCAGACCATGTTCCTTCGGGCCGTGCTAAGCCACGTAAGGCCCCGAAACTGCCAGCTGACTGTATTCCAAATCTCAGACCACCACACACAATCGCTCCAGACGGATACGTGGGGCGAAATTGCCGCATCACCAGAAGCAGCAGCAGTAGAAGCAGTCAGAACCCCCAATTTCCCTAACCCTCAGTTGTCTAGACGCAAAACCCATTTCTATGCCACCAAAAAAACTGTTCTCGTTGCGCAAATGTTGCATTATAGACTACAGAGCAATGGAGGAAGCAAATGTGGCAGTTAAAGACCGGGGTTTTTGAGCTTAGATATAGGAACAGCCGTTACCTCCAAAGAAAACTTATTAAAATTTTACAGCCCCCATTTTCCTTCACAGAGCACTGCCAAAGAAGCTTTCTATTGTTTTTAAAATTTAATTTATGCTGTCAAAGCTAGCACACATTTTTTCTGTTTCTGTTTCAATTTTGTTATAATTTCTCACTATTTAAAAAATGTTTTAAATATTTGTGTGGCATTGCATGCCGTGGGCTCGTGTTGCGTGGCAATTTGATGAATGTGTTCCTTGATTAACCCTGATCCCAGGTCAAACCTGGAGAAATCAGTTTCAAGCCTTTTGCATGCAGATGGAATTTTCAGAGGCAAGCAAACTTTGCATAATAAATGAAGGCGATAAGAATTCTGTCCGGCTTTGTTTTTGTTTATGTTTATGTTTCTTTGCCTTTTATTTTTACGGAATACCTAGGGGCAGTCGGAAGGAAACTTTTGTGGGAAATGTTTTTTTGTGGCCTGATTCGGATCCCAAATGCCGCGGGCTGTGAACAAAGTTGTTTTGGCTTTGAAGATTTCTACACAGAATGCCTTTTGTTTCGCTGTTATCACAAAAAGTAAAGGATCAAATTAGCCTTTGAACTTTTCTTTAAACTGCCAACCGGAATCCCAGTCAGTCATCAAATAATGTGAATCCAAACGGGTCAATTTTTTTGTGTAAAATCAAACACAATAAAACACAAAATTTCGACTTGCAAAATGGAAGAGACCAGAATTCTAAATAATCAAATAATATCGCCACCAGACAAGATGAAACCAGCAAGTGCACAGAAAGAGCACAAGAATTTATTGGATTTGTCAGATTCTAAAGATTCACTTGACCAGATTAAAAAGGAATTAAAAAAGGATCAATCAAAAGTCGACAATGAAACCGGAGCAGAGAAGAACGAAGAAAACGCCCAGGATGTGTCGGAAGCCCAAGGACAACAGGTGTACGCGGCAAAAGAATCCAGTGAATGTAATATATCTATAGCAAAAACGAAAATCTCTGGAACCGAGATCATAAATACAGAAATAAATAAAGACTCGGATTTAAGGATTCGAAAAATAACAAAGGAAAACAGTAAAGAAGTGTTAAATGATGCGGTGTCAAATAAAACTCTCACAGTGGAAACAAAGCCCCAGGAAAATAAAGAAAATCTCAAGGATAATAAGGAACGCGAGGAAAATCTGAAGAGCCTTAGCGGGAAAATGGAAAATGAAGAACTTATCAATGCCAAGGAACCAGTTATCAAAGAGGAACAGCACACCACTCCTGATTCGGAAAAGCAGGACCAAATGTCGGAAAATTCTGCACCAACACCAAAAATTCAGGAGGAAATGAAAAAGCCCAAGGAAACAACACAAATAAAAGCTGCATATCAACTTACCCAGCCAAACGATCCGCTGAATACGATTAGAGAGGACATGGAAAAATATTTCAGTGGCATTGTGGCCGAGGAGGAAAACAGGAGATTGAGCGATGAGATGAACGCCAAGGAAGCTGAAGCCATTAGGAAGGAAGAGCAGAAAAGGAAAAACTGCTTGGAAATGCTCCAAGATGTTAGCCAAGCCACGTGCTTATCCAGGTGAGAAAGCAATACGATTAAATAAGAGATGTATATAACCAATTTTAGATTAATAACCGCATAGCCGTCACAGCACTTCATCGGAAAGAAGGCCTTCACGATCCGTGCTCGTGGCCATCCTGCAGCGATCCGCCAAGGCGGAGTACCAGAGGAAAATGAACATCCTCAAGGACAACTTCTCCTTTCGCCTGGGGCTGATTAAGCAGTTCAAACACGACATGAAAAACAACTTTAAGAGCGAGGCCCAGCAACTCTATAGCGACTACCACTCCTTCAAGAACCAGACAGAATACAAAGCCACTTAAAACCCACTAGAATTTAATTCAAAAACAGAGCTCCGAAAGCAACACTAGCAAAAGGGACTGACCCCACTCATCCATTACACAACCTCCATTTCGAAGAATATCTACTAACTTGACACCGAAAAGCAGGGGACTATTAGTATTGCATCCACTCAGTTCTATAAGAGGAAAAACCTGCCGAAAGAATATTATGACACTGTAGTTCTTGAATTCATTGTGTGCACTTGCTTCTTTGCATCTTGGAGAAGTGCAGCTGTATCTCATTAACTGAGTTTTAAAAGTACAGTCACCACTTCGTTCGCCCCGCGGTATGCAACAGTTTTTTTTTTCTTTTGCCCCGGCAAACCTTAAATTTGCGCCACTTCTGTTTTGCATGTCGAAATAAAACAAAGACAATGAAAATTGACCCAAATACCTGGCTCTATTGTAATTTTGCTCCTTTAGTATTGTAATTTATGGACTGCGAAAGTGGGAGGAGGGGCTTTTTGGGGTCGCAGCTGCCGGGGAAATGTAGAGCAGCAAAGTGAACAAAAGGTGCCCGTTGATATCCACGGATTGTTTCGACGCCTTTAAAATTTAACTTTTCAGGAACGCTGTGCTTTTGTTCTACTCTTTTGAAAGTGTTCCTACCAAAACGTATTTTATTTTTTTTTTTTTTTTTTTTTTAAGTTTTTTAAATTATTACAGAAAACTTTCACATAGTAAAAAAAAAAGAAGTTTTATCCTGTTCTATTTGTAAACAGAAAACATTTGTTATATTTTTAGATTTGGTAACGGTTTTTGCATACTCCAATTCACCATTTATTTTTTAAATTTAAAATCTTTACATCAACTTTTTGGCAAAACACTTATTCAAATCTATCAATCTAGTTTTTTGTTTTTGACATTTTATTACTGTCTGGATATTTTTATGGAAGATAATGAAAATTGATGACTATATTTACTCTATAAGAGAATTTAAAAATTTAGTAATACTTGACAGTATTATACTTGAATGATTTTTCCGCCTAAGGAAAACTTTAAACTTTCCAAAGGCCGTTGATCACCGTGCTTCTGATGATGGGTGAGAATCGCTCCCCGGGCGGCTAATCCGTTCAAAGCTGCCAAAAATCTCCGGCGTTTTCGCTCGCAGTGACGCACAAAAAGCTGGTGGTCCGGACGGCGGGGGGAGGAGGGAGGGATGTGGGCAAAGTGACGGACGGACACTCGTGGCAGGCGCTTAGCAACAGACAGACAAAGCTACAGGCCTAAGCCCACGCCCCCTTCCCCCTCATCCGCCCCCTGCGGCGGCTTACAACAAAGCAAAATGGTAAATAAAGGCCAAAAGCGCTGACAGCGGGCGTTGAAATGGAAATCAAAATCCGAGCGCCCCATCCCGAAATCAAAGCAAATCAATGCGAAGCTAACGCTGTTTTCCCAGTCCAAACAAAAAATTTGATGAAAATTGAAAATTTACTTTGGCAATTTGGATTGCAGCACCGCGCCGACAATGAAATATGTCAATTTCAATTATACCAGGGTAAAACACACGCCCCTCGCCGCGGGCTAAAAAGTACTCGAATCCGAATTTATTCCAACGTTTCAACAAATGTGTCACTTTCCCTGTAAAGCTCTATCGATTGCAGAATTGGCAACGCCTCGAATCGCCTTCGATTGAGCCATCCACTGGGGGGATTGATTGTCGGCCGGGTAATTATAGTTGTTAGGGCCCGAGTTGGCCGGGAATTTGCTGACAGTTGTCTGCGGCCCGAGGCGTGGATTGCGCCACGATGAAACATCGAATTTGCCAATAAATCGAGTGTTTCTTGCGGCAGAATGCTACTATGCCGGCCTTATTATTCTAGCTATCTTGTTCTGCTACTAAGCACCAGCATATTCAAATTTAAATAAAATAAGATACACCTATATATAGTTTCAAGTAGTTTCAGGGCGAAAAAACATTTTTTTTTCTTTTAAATTTGCCTTTAACTTCGAATGGTTTTCTAAAAATATTTTCAGAGAAATTATTTCACAAGTTTGATTTCTTCATTTTAATAAAGTTTTAAAATCTATCATATACTGGGGTGAAAATTCTTGTTCAAACTTAATATCGGTTTAGTTTTGACTTAACGATTTAAAATGAACTAAAGAGTGGGCTTTTAAAAATGTGTTCCTAAAATCTAAGAAAATTTTACCAATTTCTACCTTTTAATATTTCTTAGCAAATTCAATATATTTTATAAAAAATTTTAGGTAACTAATAAATTATTCAACAAGACTTTCCAATCGCTCTTTAAAACATAAATATTTAACACAATAACGTAGTTTAAAAAAATAAATTTTGAATAGTCAGTCATATGGTAAATACCTAGTGCTAGTAACCGGAAACCTAACTACCATGTGCGAAACATAGCACAAATCACTTTGAAGACTTTGCGCAAGACTCATTAATTTCTCAGGTTTGCCGTGAGATTTCCTGCAATATAAACTCCTGCTGCAGTGGGCCCTTATCAATGGGAACTATCAAAAGGCCATAAAACTTTCGCCAACACTTTGCAGACAGGAAATATGACAGGCTCTGCACAATAAAACGAGCTGCCGGTCATTTGCCATGTCTAACTGACTGTCTGACTGACTGACTGACTGGCTGGCTGACCATTCCTGTGTCCTCTGTCCACCAGATTGATTTGCAAGTGAGGGAAAGGCTGGGATTGAAATTGAACTTGAAAAGTGCACAGCAGATAGGCAACAGCGCAATGACAATGACAAGGCTCTCACGATTACACAAAAGCCACCGAGCAGAAGCAGCAGAAAATAAAATGCCACGACTCCGAGACTGCGACTCCCGGTTGTCGATATGATCTCGTCATTATGTCGCCAAAGGCAGACTACTATGCAGACTGCTGCGGGAGGGGGGATTTCTGGGGGGAAAGACGTCTGCAAGTTGCGTCGTGTGGGCGACACTTTTATGGGAAATTGATGATGATTGAAAGCTGCAGCGGATGGAAAAGCGAAGCATTCCTAGACATGACAGCGTGATACTCACGACAATCGGGGATAATACATCGACAGAATGCTGACAGGTCTTAGACTTTCTTTCAAATAAGTTTCTTTAGAAAATATGTTATAAATCCATCTATCTTCGTGTCTTTTAAATGGCTTGTGTTTGTTATTTGTTACTTTTTAATTTAATAATTATAAAAAGTATAAGTGATGGTTGAAAAAGTAATATAAAGTATATAAATTAGTAAATTTAGGTATCGTTTCAATATTCGAAATAAAGGAAGCACATTAAACAAGTCGATTACAAACTTAAATGGTTTACTTATGAAAATATGTTAAAAAGTAACAACTCTTAAAGGTAATTTGTAAGATTAAATATTTAGCTTCATAATTGTATGAAGTACAAAATTAAAAGAAAAGAGTCTTTTAAATAAAGCATGTAATATTTTAAAGCCTTTTTAAAAAAATGTAATAATCTTTAAAGTTGTAAAAGAACAGGACATGAATTTTCCCATCTCTCGAAACTCCAGTCACTCATATTTCCAGAACTCTAGCTCATCTCCAGTTGTAATCTGGTGCCTGCCTCTTGCTGATGTCGGCATACGAATTAAACAATTAAAAGGAAAACAGGCAGTGTTCATTGCTATGTTATATCCCCACATCACAGACCAACCCCCTCCTCTTCAGTGACGCCCATTTAAGGCTGGCCACAGATTTTTATGGCGCCACGATGTTCTTTAAGATATATGTGTCAAAACTACTTCTGTGCCATCGTAAATTTAATTCATAGGCGTCTGCCTCAGCAACTGATGATTGTCATCATCATAATGATCATCCCAATCGCAATCAGAATCCCAATCGTGTGGGACTTGGAGGCGAATGCTCATTGCATTTTTATCACTTACGCGAAATTGGTTTTTATGTGTCGTGAGTCTCATGTGCGCCTATTAAATGGGTCCGCTGCTTCCTATTCCTTGGCGACCGCACTCGACATCAATTCCACATACGCAAGTATCACAACTACAATAAGTGAGAGCTGTGGGGGGGGAGTACGCAATACGTATACGCACCGTATACGCCGGGAAAGCAGTTAAATGAAATGCTCCGCCGGCCGTTTAAACGATGACAATCAACCGAATAGTCAAGTGAAATATTGCAGAGCACTTTCAGGTCTGCCACATGGACTAAGGCCTGCGAAGGAGCGACTTCCACGAGGCTCTGTCATTGTTTTATTGATTTATAGGAAAGAAACAGCCGCCGGCTGATTGCAGTGTGTTGTGCCACTTGAGACATTTTAACTTACGCACATAATTTGGGTTGAGAATAGACGAAGACAATCATTGGAAAATTACCTGCAATAAAAGAAAAGTTATACATTTAGAATGGGGAATCCAAGGATATATTCAAAATCCTAATATCATTTTTAGTTTTATTTAAAATTAAAGTCCACAAGAACATTATTTATTTGAACAAACCCAACATCACTCTTCGAATGAAAAGTTGTACTATTAACTCCATATGCCTATCTATGACCTGCAACACACAAGGCAAACAAACTTCGACCACCATCTACCCCCCAGTTGGCAAATGAAAAATCTGTCAGGCTCAACAAACTGACAACTTAATGCCACAATCCGACCAACCAATCCCATCCAGCCACAGGAGCAGCCAGTGGACGAGGACTCACAAGCTCAATGACTTGGCCAGACTGGTCTCTGTGGTAAAATTTAATTTAACATACAATTCAGAATGCTCGGCGACAAATTCTCTGGCCAACAACTAGGGCCACACAATGGCCGCACTGCCAAAATTGTTGCCTGGACACAAAGTTTTCGGCCAGGAGCAGGGGAGCGGGGGAGCTGGGGAGTCGAGGCCCAAGGCTCGAGCCCTTAATTATATTGAGTGTATGAAATCCTTTGGCCACACAATGGCCGGCAGGAAGTGAAAGTGGCCATGTCCTTGTCCCTGTTCGCCGTCGTGTTTAATCCAAGCAATTTGCAATTTTTGGTAATTTAACTTGACAAAACTTTTTAATGGGAGGAAGTCACCCCACTCAAAAACTGACAATGGAAGCGAACGAGAGGCGTTTGTGGCCCCCGTTCGATTCGATTCGCAACTGTTGCCAGGATTCCATTCACCCGAGCTCCTTACTCCTTAATCCCGGGGAAGAACCCTTCTTCTGGCCCCATAAAACCATAATTTTTGATTGTTATGTACTTAAAGGCGAATCTCGTCATGTGCGCTGAATGCAAATTTCGTTTTCAATTTCGTTTTTTATGTCTGCCTGGTCTATTATATTTGATGATTTATGTTTCTGCCGGATCTAGGCAAAGGGGGATGGTCCTGGGAAGGGGTACATTAAGCGGACTAAGGCGTTAATATCCTTGGTGCCGGATTTGTCTGCGGGAGGGACTGGGCAGAAAAGAGTTGTGGCAATTTACGAGATGATTTGATTTTAATCTCCAACCGCCCTCTGGGAATACTCAAGTTGCGTATTTTGTTTTAGCTGAATCGGTGATGTGATCAGATTAAAAAGCAAATATTTTGAATTTAAAGGGGATTTGAAAAGATTTATGTGAATGAGAAAATTCCGTGACACATCATTGTCGGTTAATCTCAGGCATTAAGCATGAGAATCTTTCGTGATTTAAAATAAAAGTTTTCATAAATATAACGAAAATAAACATTACCGGCTATAAATGTTACTAAAATTCGATACAAGTTCACCAAACTGGAATTCTAGCAAGCATATCCATTTAAAAGGATAAGAACGGTGTAAGTTTCATCCAGTTGATTAATTTTCCAACTCTAAATTACACATTTTGAGTTCTTCCTGGCCCATCTCAAATTTTACTTCGAAACTTCCGAAATTTCCCCGTTAAGCTATTTCAATATTTTCTGATAGCTCTAATTACAAACAGCAACAGCAGATCGCGTTGACAACAGAAGTTGCGACGCAAAGGGAATATAAAGTTGAGGGATAGAAGAGGAAAATAAATGTCCCACCATAAGCCGTAATTTCTGCGCAAAAGTCGAGCTCCCTCCCCAAAAGCAGTTTGAACTGTCAAAAATGACAAATAGTCCGTCGAGGATTTAATTTTGAATGCACCGCTTCGACTGCAGTGGAAATTAACTAAGCGACCTGGAAAAAAAGCGACTTTCGCAAAAGGAAAAGTCACTGGAAAAAGCACCCACCATGGAAACGCAGCAACCACCGAAAATGCTGCAGACGGAAAGCGGAATTAAAAGCGATCCACGTACACACACCTTCATTCGCATCCCCTCCTATTTTCTCTCATTTTCCGAGGGGTGTGTTTGTAAGGGGGATGCAACCGGGGCCGTTTCATGTTTGGCCGGGAAATTAGTTTGGCTCAACAGCGCATCATCGGAAAATAAAGGATTTTCTGTTTAGCGGCAGTTTGGAGAACGGGACAAGTATTTATAAATTACTCGTCCGCATCGCAATTGCTCAGCCATACGATTTATTGCAATTTCTGAAATATGCCCAGCAGAACCCAAGGTTGCCGGGACTACTGTGCACGTGTATGAAAGAAGACCTTCGGGCTATCCACTTATTAAAAATATTTGTTTGTAGTATCTGCAACTGGGCATTGTCTGTGGATTCCCGGGCTGCGTCAACTGGCTTTATTTACGATTCGCTGGGGCATGTAATTAAATTTTTGGATTGCACCTTTTCAGCAGGAAGTCCTGCACAGAAAACTCAAAGGATGTGGGAGAGTTCTTCCTGTTTTTTTGGTTGGCTTTAAATATTAGAAGATTTTAAATAGCTGCCTTAAGCAAACATATTTTTAAAGTTGAGGGATAGAAGAGGATTTTAATATGTAAAAAATGTTATTTATTTAATTATAAAGCCCAGCACTATAAGTGCAAATTTATTATGATTCAGCTAATCACTTTGTCAAAGATCCAGGCTTATACTTAAATCTAAGTATTCATTATTGACAATTTCTGTTCTATAATTTCATAGCTTTTTATTCTAAGTAGCAGCTTATACCTAATTATTTCTTTCCACACCACCTATATTTCGCAATATTTTTTTCGATGTAAAACTATAAGTAGACAAGCGCTATTAATCATTGCATAATTTCGCCTGCCCCCAGAATTCGTGGGTCATAGCTCATCAAAACTGTAAACTAAACTCATTAATTACTACAATTAGGCAGTACACATTTTTTCCGTTCGCCCTCAAATTGTTTAATCTGGCAACCGTTTCAGAGCCGTGCTCCCTGCTAAATGATACGCACGCGACCGAAGAGCCGACCTCGAAGAACCGACATCGACATTGGTAAAAACAACTTCCCATTTGGAGTCGTTAAACGAGCCCGCTCCGGATAAGGAATAAAAAATGAAAAGGAGAAATATATGTATAGGAAAACTGCCGCGCCAGACTCGCCCAGGCGATGCAGCTTTGATTAATGGTTTCTTCCAGCACGTCATAAGCGGGCAGGTCCTGGTAAATCCCAACCCCTCCTTTCGTTATCAAAGGCTGAGTGAGCAGAGCACCAGGCCGAATACCTTTTTTTTTATATTTTTCTAAAACAGAAAAAAAGGGAATGAAGGAGCTCTGTCGTCCAGTCAAGTATAATTAACAACTTTGTTGGGCCCGGTTTTCCTTTCGTTGTTCGTTAAGAAATTGCAAAAAAGTTGTTGCTCGTTTTATGTAAATGATGTGTAAACACCACGTGCAGGAGTGCCGAGCCCGAGTTCATAATAATCCGGAGCACTGCAACAATGTGGCAGTTTGAAAAATACTCAATGCATATTTCGTGGCGCATGTCCATTAGCGGGGAAAGGGACTAAAACGAGAGTACAACGACACGTGTCGCTGCGATTTATTAGCATAATTTCTCTTCCTCAGGTTTTTTAATGCTCGCCACGGAAGCATTAAAGCGAAATGGATGTTCATCTACCCGAAATGATCCGGGGGAGTGAGGCCCACTCCAAGAACAAGACACGCTTTTCAATTTCCATGGCAGCCCCGGGCATCATCTTCGCCAGCATAAATTCCCAAGAACTACTCGCTTAATTGTTGTGCATTTGTCAACCTGAGCACATGAAGCTCTTCCAAAAACGGCGTCAAACACTCGAACCTCTCCAACGCAGACCAAAGGAAAATCCACACTTGAATCCAACATGAGACGCTTTAAATTCTGGAACACAAGCCCAGACATTTGCTGGATGCGAGTGCAAAGTGGGGAGCATCCGAGTAGGGTCTTGTGCTATTTATGTCTTACTTAGTAGCACATTTGCTGTGACTAGTTCGTAAATTAATTGGATTTGCAATTACACGCCCCACAAGAGCGAGACTAACAAACTGTAGAGTCGCGGGCAGTGGTGTGTTAAAGAGGGAATGTGCGAATGTATGGCGAACTGAATAAAAAGAGCTTACTAAATGGATGAAAGCGAAATATAGGGTCTAGAAATTTAATGAATTGAATGAATAGTCCGCTGAAAAGAGCACAACAATTTAAGGAATGCTGAAGTAAACACATTGAGAAGCGCATAGAAAGGCGCAGACTTCACCTCAACATAATAGTTTTTGATTCAGCCACTGTCTGTTCTTTTTTCCATATACCTAATCAATAGAAATGGTCGGCAAACCATTAAATTCAACCGAAGAAAACCAAATCATTTCATTCTATAAATCGTTGAGAACCCTCCCTTCCTCAAGGTATTTTTATCCTTCCTTCAGATCGACCATTAAACTAATTGCTGGCATACAACATTTTTATTGCATTGCCGACTCCTTTTCTGGCATTCCATTTCGTACATGCCAACGCTTAATATGCATAACAATAAATGGTCATATACGAGTACAGGTTTTCCCCACTCTAAATTTGACAAGGGCAGTCAAACACTCGCCAACTGCACACAAGCGAACCCTGGAAAATCAAAGGCAGGAAAAGCGAAAGCAAATTGCTCGAAGGCCTCACCTGTTCAAACCAGTCCCTGGCGAACATTCCAATACAAATGAAAACGGCAATGGAAACGGACAGAAAGCAAATTTCATACAAAATTAAATTAGATTTTTCGGTAGTCGAGGAAATTGCCGCACGCACGCAAATACCAGAAAATATTGAAATTACACACAGGAACGCAGAATTCAAAAATATATTTCCCGATCTCAAACCACCCACAACACGTTGGAGTTCTATGGAAAATAGCCGCCGGCCATTTGTTTGTAGACAAACATTTGGCATTCTATATGCCAGTATCTGAGCATCCGAGAGTGGTTTGCGTGCCCAGTCAAACGGAAATGGGCAAATGCCTACGCAAATGTGCGCATTTCAATTAAATTTCCGTTTTAATCACTTTTACAAGTTCCATTGCAGTCGTCGAGAGTGGCCGGCATGGGTTAAGCAAGGGGTCACAGGCACATGTTGGTATGCCCACTCATTAAAACCGTGTCTGGGTTCAGGTCATGCGTTTAAATTTGATGATGTTGATCCGTGATCTCCTAGTACCTTCCACTTCTGAGCTTAACGCGTTGAGAATCGCATAGAGAGGCGCTTCACATGTGGAGGGTATGTTGATGAGGTCCTTCCAAGCGGAAAGTTTTTAAAAGCTTTTAAAGATTTAAAAACTGTACAAATAATTATCTTGCATAAAGCCCTTAAAAATATGTTTGGAGACTGGGTGCATTTACGATTTATTTACCATTTACTTAAAAATATATGAGGCCACCTATTCAGAAAAGCCTAAAAAATAGCCCTACTTGCCTAAATCTTGAAAACATACCCCTTTTCGAAAAATAACTATGCAGATCAAGAGTTACGAGAACCTAATTTCGGAGAGTGTACCTGAACCCGTCAGCTTTTATGGTGGTTTCACTGTCCGTTGTCTGCGAATTGTAGTCGCGGTTGTTCCACACCAAGTTTACGGGAATGCTGATCGAGATTCCTGATGACGAGTAAAAATGTCCAGTAATCGTAGTTTCCGAGCTGCTTCGCTCATTGTCAAGTTCCTCGTATGGCACCAGTGCCATGTCATCATTATCAGGAGAACTGCTATCCCGATCCCATTCTCGCAGGCCGCACTCCGAAATAATGGGCGACGAACGGGCTCCACTATCCGCCGAGTTCCACACCGGGGAACCACTGTTCTTTTCGCTGGTCCCCTCGTAATCCTTCGTAAGTGCCAACATGGAGGTGAGGGCCCGTCCCTCCAGCCTGTCCGTATCTCCTCCGGCCTTCGATCTCGGCATGGAGCGCAGACTGGCCTCGTCCGGCAAGGAACTGCGACGAAGGAGTCTCTGCAGCGTCTTGAAGGATTCACGCATATCCAGCAGCTGATTTTCGTCGTAAGGCTCGGTCAACGGAGTATTTGGCACCGACAGGGCGTTGATAAGGAACTCCAGGTCCTCCTCCATCTTAGGATATACTCAAAGAAGCGAATGAAAGTTACTGACTAGATCTTAGTCTGTATTTAAATTTTGAAATTTTCTAAAACTGATTTCCAGGCTGACGAGAAGAAAAGCAAAGCTACCCAAACAAAGTCCAGATGAAAAATATTTTTGTGCTTTGACTTTTTTATCAACTCCCTTTTAATATTTTATGGTCTCTACATTATAAAATGGTCGCTTCATTTTGTAATTTGTCCCTCTGCATAAATATGTCCCCTTCATATGGCAAACTTTTTTCATTAAATTCCAGCAGCTTTAAGCAGAACCTCTTAAGTTCCTGTTTCTCCCAAATCTACGTCCTGCCTTCCTTCCATCCGCTCCCATCCCCCATCGAATTTGCTACAAAGTCATTACGAACAACTTAAGTTTGTGTTAAACACGCCTACATTACCAGATTTTGCATTTGGAGCGGCAAAAACCAAAGTTTAGGGCAAGTAGCTGAGGCAGAAGCGAACTGCAAGAAGTGGAAAACTTGAGTTTGGGTCCGTGTAATAATTGTAATTTCGCAGCTACAGCGAGGAGGCAAGTGAGGAGGGTACCGAGGAAAACACGAAAAATAACAATCAGAAAGCATTTAGCAGAAACTTCTGAAAGCGAGAGTCGAGGGAGTCGAGTTAACCAAAGTGTGTATGCTTGTCGACGGCAGGTGGCTTCCTCTGTGGTCGAGTTGCAAGTTCGTGTGTTTCAGGACTGAAGATATGTATTCCCCCTTTTCGTATGTCAACGCATGGAAAAACTTGTGCTTCAAGCGAAGGGAAAAACCAGTAACAAACCATGAATTCCTTTAACGATTAAACAAGGAACAGGAAACCATATAGGCTACTGTTTTCCAGCTCCTCCCCCAAAAAACCCCATAAATCTCCTTCGGGGTGTATCCAGAGTGTGTTTGTGTTTCGCCTGGTGTGGCAATTTTAATGGCCTGACCTACTTACAAACACAGCCAGCAAGCTCCTGTTCCTGCTTTTTATTGAACACTTAAAGTAACTTGCTACTGCAGGCGTTTCTTTTAATTGCGCAAATTCTAAGCTAAACATTCTGCTACTCACGTCGAATGTCTTGCCACCGTTTGTCCTGCCATTTGTCAGGCATCAGAAAATATGTTTAATAATCTGAACGCATTACCAAAACAGCAGCCACTGTGCAAACAAACGGAAGCAAAAAGGAAAGCGGTTGCGGTTGGGGATGGGGTTGGGGTTTGGGGTTCTAAGGGGTTGCAAGGAAAACGACAAAAGGCAAACACATGTAGACGACTCCAAACGGCATAGGACACCAGACAGACAAAACAAACACCGAGGGTGAGATGGAAATATATTAGGAGAGGCAGGGAGGACAACGGGTCCTGTGATAGCAAAGAGGATATTTTTGGACAGTGGAATGCGTTTCAAGTTTTCGTAAGAAAAAAGGAGGAATTTCGGCACGAATAAATACTGCCCATAATAAATTAACTGAAAGCTCAGCATTTTTACTTTCGATACTGTTGAGAAATTTTGATTATTTGGGTCTGAAAAAAGTATCCAAATTTAGTATGTCAAAAAAATATGAAATTGGATACAAGAGTCTTTTTACAAAATCATTAACTTCTTTTTCGGACAGACATGTAAGTTAATTAAGTTATTTAAGTAATTTTCAATATAAGACAAAAAACCACTTTGAATAAATACATTTATCTACTTCTCTTTTATTTTAAAATGGGCTTAAGGGAAAATAGGAAATAATATAACAATGTGTGCCTTAGAATTTAAAATTTGTATTTATATTATTTACGGAATGCTGAATCAATGAGCTGAAAATATAATGTTATAGGCCTTTCCCACTGTGCCGCACTCCCAGCCATTTGGTGCTCGTCTTCCAAGGCACAAAAGCCTATTAAATAACACGGTCCTACACATGCGAACTCCGAGGAAGGAACGGCAGCAGCAGCCGAAAGTTTTGCTCACAATTGCCAGGATAAGGCAGGAGCCAGTGGAATAAGCAGTCGCAGTCAGTCACATGCAGGCAGAAGCCCAAAGTGGTCACATGAAAATATGAAAATATTCATGACTCGAGAGAGAAAAAAGCCAAAAAAAGTAATGACGACAACAAAAATACAAGACCGAGAAGGGGAAACTTTGACAAAGTAGAGGGGAAAACTGGCATGCAGGCAAATGGCAAAAAGTAAACAAATAAACAAATGGGATCGGGATGTATACTGCTCGTTAGAGGGAGGAAACTTCAGGAACGATGACGACGATGACTGTGATAGTCATCCACCCATGTCTAAGACATTTGCATAGGGACCTGGAGCAACTCGACTGAGTCTCCTTTTCCTATTTGGTTTAGAGCGGCATCTTTGGCCAAATTTAGGGGAAAATTCTATTATTTTAGCTGCTCAAACATCTTCTCAAAGTCCCGGCAGTTAGTTGTTCACTTTGCCAGTCTGATGACCGACCACTTGAGTCCTTTGGGCCCCACTACAAGTCTATGTAAAACATTTCGCCCTCCTTTCCTTCGGCACACTTGCACTTTGAGCTGCAGCTGGAAAATAAATGTTCAATTTGTACTTGTCAATTGGCTACTTAGTGCAGTTGAGAGATGTGCCCATGGTAACGGAAGAGGAAAATGCCGAACCAATTGAAAAGTAAACGAAACTAATGCAAGAATTTGGCAAAGTGCCATTGATAGATGCTGGTATGCTGGGCGAAAGTGAAAAGAGCTCCTAAATACTTTCCAGCAAAGGCTTTGAAGTAATGGAGTGAAAAGACGAATGCAAGCAAACGAATATTTCAGAAATTCAAATGTAGTCAGAAATATTTACACAATTAAAGGGAAAACTAAAGTCTTGGATACAAAAAATCAATAGATGCATTTGCATACCCTAACATGTTCCAATATTTATCTGAACGCAACACTATTGTCTCCAGAACTTCCCTTTATAAGATCCCTGAGCTCAGCATTAGAAATTCAGCAAACAAAATGAGGCAGCAGAAGATGAAGCCATATCATTAACTTTCGGGAACAAGCAGAGTTTTACCTTTTGGCCTCTCGATAAGCAGCTCATTACTCAACTGCAGAAAAGAAAGCCCGCAAAAGGTCAGCCCCAAAACCCGACTTTTTGTGATTTACTGGCCCCAGGAACCGCTTGGATCAGCTAAAAACGGACGAAACATAATAATAATTTGTTACATGTAAAAAGCACAGTGCCAAAGAGATAAACAAAATAAATGACAAAAGCATGTCAGCACAAAGAGGCAGCCGAAAAAGCAAACTAGAATGGAAATGGAAAATGGATCCGCTTTTCGGAATCGGGAGGCTTTTTGTTGCAACCCTCAGCGATTTTTTGTCTTCTTTCACGGGCTTTCGACTACAGACATTTGCATAAATTATCATTTGGTGAGACAGAACAAAAAACCAGGATGGGCAGAGATATACCTTCGACTGAGAGCTGAAGGAGCCGCCTTTGCCGAAAGAAATGGCCAGGGGGAGGGTAATAAAAGGCAAATGCATAAAATAACATAAAATAAAACAAGAATTTATGTGCTAGAGCGAAGCAACGGCAAATATCAAACAAATTGCAATAAAATGCAAATTTAAATAGAAACGGAAAAGTATACATAAATTCTGGCTGTGCATTAAAGCCCACCGAAAATGTTCATTTCATTTTTGGCTGAAACAATTTGAATTTAAATATTTTATGCTTAGTTTTAAAGAATTTTATCGCCGCACAGCAAACCGCAGAGTGGGGAAAGGGGAAACTCCCCGGGCTATTTGGCGGGGGGAAATGGGGTTGCTTGGGGCCCGGAGTCCCCCTTGTTTGTTTCCAAGCAGCTGAACACAGCTGGGAAAGTGGCGGGGAAAACGAAGACAGCATTTCCTTACATTTTAATACACTTTTCCACCGAACACGCCCACATGGAAGAGCAAAAAGCAACAGCCGATGGCAGGTGATGTCCCCTTCCCTGTTTGCTTTTTTTTTTAAAAGGAAAACTTTTTCTGCACAATGAATTTTTGCGCATTTTCCACCTGTATGAGCTTGCCCCGGGAAAGCGGTGTGGTGGGAAACCCGCGCAGGAAATCGATTCGCTGTGGTTCTTGCTCTGGTAATGAGACTTTTCATGACCAAAGCGGAAAACGCCAAAAGGGAGAGAACACAATTTTCCAATGTTTTTTCCAACTCGTTTCGAGAAATTCGCAACTATGCAAATGGTAGGTAAATAACAGAGCTTAGTCCTTTGGTTCAATTACTGGTAAAGGAACCTGGGAAAGCTCCTCTTTCGGTTTTCCAAAGGAACGTGGAGAAGCTATTAGTATGTGGGCGAGAAGAAGCGAGAGCAGCAACAAATCTCAGCTAATTAAAGTCAACAAGCAGAATCATTTGAAATGCAAATGTCAAACGGCATAATGGTAATATTTGAGTGTGTGTGTGTGTGGGCCATGGAGTACAGGATAATATGTGTGTGCAAGAATTAAGCAAACAAAAAGAGCAAAGAAGCATGGGAACAAAAATTAGAGTTCTACCATAAAAATGGCATGCTCTTTTTGTAACCTAAAGTAAACCTAGGTAATTATATAAAATAAGATAATTGATAAAAAAATCGAATGAATTAAAATAGTAATTTTAAATCACTGGTTATTTTTGTGGACTCTCAAGTATTTAGTCCTACATTAATCCGAATATTAAAACATTACTATTATACCCTACGCAATATAGGGTATCCAATTCAAATGTACTCCCCCTTCCATCACTTTCACTTAACACTTTTTCTCAGAATCCCTCATATGTTTTATAAGGGTCCTAACAAGTCCCAAACACCCGCACAGGCAAAACAATTTTTGCCCTTTAAAGTTGAAGTACCCAAATTTGATGAGGGTAATTATTGGTAGACTCCTCGGGGCTAAGTTTATAAAGGGTAAACCCAGATTTATGTCTGATATGGATAGGAAGCTGAGGCCCGGAAAAAATTAAGATAGAAGGAAGCATAGAATTTCAATTAAAATTAGCAGCCAGGTCGTTAATATAAAATATTGCTAATTAGATTGCCATAGAACCGGACCAGTAGCATTTTCAGCTTCGTCTTCGTCTTGTGCATTGATTTTAACACGGTCATGAATATTAAATT